AAACGCTTGGGTGCTGTCGGTGCTACTCGCCTTCCAGGATGGGGACCGCGTGATCCTCACTGTGCCTGGTTGGAGACACTACAAGATATGGTTGCCAACCGATGTCAGTGGCGTTCTTGTCAGTTTCTATCCAGATCGCCTGAGTGAATGCCTGGAGGTGTAGGCACCCCGGAATGATGTGGTAAGCTAGCACTAAGTCCCTCACCTGTCAACCTCTCTTAACAATAAGGCTTTCAAATAAACCATGGTTGTACGGCAGTGAAGCATCGGTGTTGAACACTGATGTCATGATGTGGATGATGATAACCCCTAACGATATGTGCCGCAAAATATCGAGTTTTATTATTGTTCAGGAGGGCGCCGTTTCGAGTGACAATTCCCGGACCAGAAGCAGACGACTCTCTCTGCCGACCATAATGTGGTTTGTTATCTGCGAGGGTTTCTTTTCTACTTCCTTCACCAAGCGACGGGTGATATGGAACAGCCATACAAAGCTAGATCTCAGACTGGGCTGAGTTATAGTGCATGTGCCGTGCATACCGTGTTTTCGTTGCCAGGGCGACATGATGTCGACTTGAACAAGGCGCAGTCCCCGTAGTAGCTAAGCTTGATAAGTAGATCACTTGTTTTAGGAGAATGTCACCTATGTATAGGGGCGAGATGGCCCAAGTGGTAAGAGCGCGAATTTACTGACCGGAAGGTCTGTGGTTCGAATCCGACCACCGACTCTCGACTTCCCCTGTCTAGGCTTGGGCAACCTGGCAGTTTCCCAGCCCTCGTGCTTCCTTCGGGTGGCATGGCAGCTAGGCACCAAAGGGGTGCTATCAGCTGAACGCTCTTTTTTCTTTCACCCATGTATAATGTTACACGTAACTTCAAGTAAATAATAATAATACTCTTCCAGCTGTAACACCGTTAGGTTTCTAGCTGCCATGCATCCACAGGAAGCACGAGGGCCGAGATACTGCTAGGTCGCCCAAGCCTAGACAGGAGCAGTCAAGATGAACTTGGCTTCGAACCAAGGACGCACTTTAGCCCCTAAGCCACCTTGAGCTCGTAATTTCAATCAGTTCCGCCATTCTGTTGTTTTCTGGATTGTTCGAGTCTTTTGAGTGTGGAACCACAGAGGGAACTGTCATTTCGTTTCACGAGTCTGTTTACCTTTGTGGTTCGTCCGCCCTAAAAGACGTGTGGAGGGATGTTCGTCGAACGACCAGAGATGCCATATTCTGCGTATGGCGACAGAACTGTTTTGGTCCATTGCTTGTTTGAAGGGTTCGATTTCGTCAACGAGTGGACAAACATGCAGGAACACTGGGTGTGTGTGCTAATTTGAACAGTTTGAGGTTTCCAAACACTCAGCTTCACATGAAGATCAAACATTGGGAGTTGGAGAGGGCTGAGTTTAAGGTGATAAACTAATAAACAGAAGGGCAGCGGTCAAATGCAGTCGCGGATTTTCGAGTCCTCTTGTATGGGCTTGAAAGACCCGGCATTACGTCAGCTCTGGTGGCTCCGAGTTGAGTGTCAGCCATGCACCGTAAAATTGCGACAATAATTGCTCAACCTGCCATTGTTGAGATCCTTTTATAATCGTATTACAAAGCTATCTATTAGTAGACTGACCCATTTGTGGTGCGAACCGGCAGACCTACAATGGACGTTTCAAAACATACTTTGCAGATGTAGGTTTCGGATGCAGTGCTAGAGCTACCATGGTTCGAGTTGGCGCTGGACTCCCATGCGATAGACGAAGTTGGTACTTATAAGTGATGGACTATAAACTTACGTGGGCTGACCGAATGGTGGTCATCCAGGTACGTATCTAAATGACGTTGGGAATTTTCTACGAAGTCTGCTGCATTGAATTTTACGGAAAGTCCCTGTGTATTAAGGGTATGCGGTATGTGACAGCAATTTGTCTAATACTAGAAAACATAACCCCACGAAATGAAAATACTAGCTGAAAAACTATTGAGAAGCGTGGATAATTTGGGACAAAGGCGTCCATGAACAATCACTACATTGCCTACAATTTAGTGGTGTGCAAATAAGGTCAACTGGTTACTAGTTGACAGCCAGCGACCTGGCTGAGTAAAAACGGGAAAACCTTCGGCTGAAGACTTACCTTCCGTGAAGAAAACGTGAGCGAAACGGTATTGGTTAGAAGCGCTCTGGAAGTCATTCATGAGCAGCTGCAACGACTACATGAGGGCGTCAATTTTGAACAACCAGGAGGTACCTGATCCGTAGGGGTTATTAGGTAGATCGCCTCAATAGGAAGAACCTCCCTCCTTTTAGATATATCCTCGACCACTAACATAATATAGAGAAAAGTAATCTGACTCACAAGTGATCCCGTTATTCATTATCTCGTGCATTTTGCAACAAGACGACACAATTCTGGTTGATAAACGATCCAAAACTAAGACCTTCCAATCTTTCGGCTGCTTCAGTGGAATGATAATCTCCTCCATAATTTCTACACACAACGTCTACAAAAATATCGCCACATACTTCTTGCGACTGCTTGTTTGAGCGACATCCTAAGGTAACGCAAGGGTTTGAAAGTAACGCAGGAAATGGATTGATGGGCCGCATATTAGATTTAAATTGTTGTTCAAGTTTGAACATTTCTCCAACTTAAAGCATGCCGAAAAGGTGGAGCTTCTCTTATGGGTCCACGTGGGATCTGTAATATGACCAGATTCCGTCAGAGAACACGGGTGATTGAGGGCGCGTGATACGAGTTTCAACCAGAAGCGTTGTGTTCACAAATTTTTCGTGAAAACGAACAAAACAGCAGCAGGTGGTAGCGTAAAATCTGCCAGGTGCACCAAGCCGTGGTTGAAGCAATTGAGGACGGTTGAGTGCCAACCTGGGGTGTGTAAACGGGAAACATGTGAGCACATCCCTAAGACCTGGGTCAACGGAAAAAACTCTTTGCCAAACTTTGTTCAAACAGGGCATAAATAAGAATTAGGTCCACTCGGAGGCGACGGTACTCCAGGGGAAGGAGATCGAGCGCCGTGAGATGCGTTTCATGGTCCATGGATTTGAGGCCGGCAACCATTCTCTTAGCGGCTCGCTGGACACGCTCAATGAGGGTGAAGTCCTTCGTGTGTCCCGAGTAGACAAGTTGGTTGGCGCATTCCATGAGCGGTCTGCCGTAGGCCACATAGACCATTTGGAAGTTCATGCGAGTGATACGGGAGAATGTGCGTCAGATCATCCGTAAAATGGCGAATGCCTTTTGGGC